ATTAAATTCTTATTGAAGATTTACGTTTAACTTTTATTTTAAGGGCTGCGAGAGACAAAACAGCCTCAAGGAATAATGTGAATTAGTATATTAGGTTGTAGATTAACCAAAAAATCTTCATAGAGAGAATCGGCTTTTCGTCATTAGAAAATTTATGCCGCAATCGAGCTCAATTTGAGATCGGATTTTTATTTTTTTGAATCATAAATAAGATTTGAGACAATTATGCAACATTATTATAATAATAACAGAAAGAAAAACATGCTTTAGAAATATACATATCAGTTTTCAACAACGGTTGTGCGAAAAATTATAATGATTAGATTTCATAAGTTCTTCAAAGACGTGGGGTGAAAACCATAGTGATTAGAGTTAAGAGGTTGTTCATAAACGTAAGTATGAAAACTTATATGATTAGATGTCATTGATTTCTCAACAACGTATGTATGAAAAGAGATTTATATATTTCAGCAGTTTTTTTTAAAAAAAAAAGCTTGAGTAAAAGAAAGATTTTGATATATAGTAGAATAGTATTTTTAGATATAAATTTAGGATAGACATGGCTGAAAAGAAGATAGGATCAATAGCTAAAGGATGAGTACAAGTATATTTTTCAATGGAAATATGGGTCTAGGCTTCATTAAGGGGAAAGGGGTGATAGAATTTGATATATTTATATAATTTATTATAGATATTTTTGCTACGTATTATAAATTTAAGATTTAGTATAATTTACACCATTTATTAAAGGCAGAATTAGTTTAGAGGAGATAAATGTAGACATTAGGATAAAGTTGGTATATGTATATATTTTATTAGTATATGATTAGATAGTTTATGTTGTAGAATAAATATAAAAAGTGATAAAATATTTCAGAAGTTATTTAAATAGATTATTTTAGGTAGAAGTAGATTAGATGTGATTACCTGAAACCTTAAGATAAAGTCGATATCTCAGCAAAGGCAGACTGTCGTAGAAGACCCGGAAGTCTAAAAGATAGATACGATTACAAGAATTAGAGGCAGCAACCAATCAATTACAAGAAAAAGTAGAAAACAAGCGAATTGATAAGATGGTCAAGACGTTATGCTGCAATCGTTAATCGCGGACCAATAATAGCCAATTATTACCGAGACTTTAGTCTAAGATACGAAAATCAACAATCATAGGAACAAGAATTCGTGAAAACCATCGTTTATCGCAGACCAATCGTTTATCGAGATAAAAGGCTAATCGTGGATTACAAGAGAATGATAGAAAACAAGTTACGATGAAACTGGATGGCATCGATAATCGTTCATCAAGCGTGGATCGTGGAAAACAAGCCTTTATCAAGTTCGTCAGTGGCCTACAGAGATAAAAAGCTGATCGTTTCACAGGGTGACAAGCGACAGATAGAATTCAAAAATTTCAAGCGACAAAGCCTTCGTTAGAACTTAGAAGACAGCAAAAATTAAGAAGAATAAGTCGAGATCGAAAGAAGATTGATTATTCGCAGATTGGTGGGTCTAACTTAAGTGGAAGGGTGTTGCAGTTTTACTTTACAAAAAAATGCATTATGCAAATCGTAAACAAAAATAATGTTTTATTAAAATATCCCCGTCTATGTAAATGAGAAAAAAACGCGTGAGATTTGTAGATTTTTTCATACTTTAACAGTTTTAACAAGTGGGATGTAGAACTTTTTATTCTTCGCTAGTGAGACTATGTAAATGTTGATTAAAGAAAAAGGATATATAATGGAGAAATTATGAGGCGAAAAAAGGGATTATTATTTTAACTAAAATTTACTTTTAATTTTTAATTTTATTTTATTTTATTTTTTTTATGATGTTTACTATTATAATTTTGAATAAAGAATTAAAGTTGATTTTATGATTTCGTGATTCCTAATTATTATTAATTTCCTTTATATATATATATTTGTTTTCTATTTTTATATTTAGGTTTTGATGCACAATGACAAAAACTTGTCGTTGTGACAAAGTGTAAAATTTATCCTTAACCTAAGTGGTACACCATACGTAGATTTATATTAACAATTTCTATATATTTAAGGTCCATAAACTTAAGAAATTATATAAGTTAATTATCATTGATATAGTTACCTTTAACTTACAGAGTTCGCCTTATAAGAATTAAGAATGTGCACGGGTTATTAGAACAAAAATTATACGGTAATGATTTAATTGAGAAATATGTCTGCTTTTTTAAGTAATGTATTGAGATATATATATTTTTTGTAGGCGAAAGAGTTTTTTGTGAGTTTTACTTTTCCTTCTCCCTATCATGTTGATTGTAATTAATTTTTCTATTTAATTTATTTTTTTATTTTTTTATTAATATTTTATCTTTTTATTCGGAGAGTGTAGGATAAATATAAAGAATAAAATAGGAGTTCCGGAGAGATATTAGAAAAATTAAAAATCAGGAAGGAAAATATAATAGTGTTACTTTCAGAGATCAAAGGAAATTAATATTTGTTTAAATATAATTTTTCACGTCAAGATATTTAAAATTGCTAACTATAATTGTTTTCCTAGCATCTTCTGACAATGTTTCTATCATTAAAAACCATATTTTTAGAAAAATGTGTTCAAAAGATAATTGACGATATTGTAAAAGGGGAGGGCAATGCACTCCGTTTACCTATATATCTTAAGAAAATCATCAATGATTAAAAAAAATATCCTTTTTGTATGTTATATAACTAAAATATTTTAAAAAAAACATCACGTGATTATAAATGACGTGTTATAATATTATATATATATCTTTATAAACTACAATTATATCTAATTATCCCGAAGATAGGACAGTTATAATACGTGTGCACTAATTATTAAAACTTAATTAAGTAATTATATTATTTAGAGATATTATAAACGATAATCAATATAATAATATTTTTTTTACTGCCATATTTTGGGTTGGTAATATGAGATGAATGTTTATTTTTCAATTGGCTAAATATAATTTAAATTTATTTGTTAAATCTAAATTATAATAAATACTTAGGATTAGTAACTTGATTAATTTTCTGGATATTGTTAATAAATAAAGGTTTATGCTGAAATTCAAAGTGTGTTAAAAATATGGAGGATAATTAAAAATGGTCGATTTTTTAAAATTAATTAAATATTATGTTTATAACAAAGAAAATAAATTTATAACAATAAAAAAAGAGCTTAATAAGCCAATAAAAATAAATGTTAATAGCAAAATAATAGCATCTATAAGAAGGATTATATTACAAAATTTAATATAGAAGGAATGGAAGAACGTTTGCCTTTGAAACGTTAAGTCATAAGTTCGAATCCTGTGATGTATAAAAAATTTTCTTAAAATTTAACATTAGAGATATATAGTGGCAGTCTACAGGTCAATGTGGTTTGACAACCATGAGTTCAACTCAATAAATAGTGCTATAGTCTTGTTTGAGGCGGGGCAATGCTGTAACTCTAAAATAATTTAAAATTTATTTTATATATTTAAAAATAGTTTGAAGAAGTATATTTTTTTAAAACTCTTATTTAGAAATTTATCGAACTACGATTATGGGAAAATATAGCAAACTGTAAATTTTTATAAAATAAATTTCAGCCCCATCAAATGAGATTACGGGATGGATTTTTTAATATAGGCAATTTCTAGGAAGAAGCGAACTTTTGTATTAAATGTGGATAAACAAAGAAAATATATGGCCCAATCTTTTAATTTCAATGTAATTATTATTTCCAAGTTATTATACGATTATATTAGAAATTAATCAAACGGACACTATTATTTACCTTATTATAATATCTATTACTATTACGAGTAGGACACATGTACAATATTGAGATTTTTTTGCACTGTGTAAATAGTCAAAAACTGTATTATTTCAAAAATGTGTGATTGTTAAGCATACACATCACAATCGAATATTAGATAATAAAGATTTTATTCATAGATTATTTCATTATTTTGGCGAAAGTCAATGAAATTGCATTTATAATTTAATTCAAATTTATCGTACTTTTGTTAGGATGATAACAATTTTTAAAAATTTAATCGATTCAAACCATTTTAGAAATGAAAATTATTTTCTTCAACTACCAAATTCAAAAAAACAATTTTTTTTTAAAAAAAATCAAAAACTATAAAACTTTTAAAAATAAATTCAAGCGCCATCTAATGGATGTATTTTTATAATATAAAATAGTAGTTGTCAAATTTATTCACCTTTCTTGATATTTCATAGTTATTATTCAAAACTGCAAAATCTAGAACTAAAAAATTAGATATTTTATAATTTATATTAAATAAAACATCAAAAAAGAATTTCAAAGTATCGATGGTTATAATACGTATACACTAATTATTAACACTTAAGTAATTATATTATTTAGATATGTTATAAATGATAATCAATATAATAATATAATTTAGAAAATCGTTATTCCCGGTTGTTTATCAATCGGGAGATCATTTCCGAAGGATTTGATTATGTAATGTTTTCGCAACGATTTTTATTATAATAGGGTCATTTGGTGACCTAAACCACTAAAAAATAACAAATTCTCGAAAAAAGTTTATCACATTTTGTCCGGAGTAGAGCAAGCCATATTTTGTGTTTTAGACTTTTATATAAATTTTTGAACCAAATACGGACGATTAAGGAAAAAATTCCTAAGCACTAGCCAAACCTGATTTAAAAAAGAAAATGACTATAATGAATAGCTTAGTTACTTCTGTCTTATTTAAAAATTTATACAAATTATAGTCGTTTTTACAGAAGCTAACACTATTCATTAATATTTAGTTATTTGCGTATACTAATCAAAATAATAAATTTAATTATATATAATAATTGAAATTAAAGTAAAAAAAATTAGTTATTTTAAGTATAATAACGTTAGCACTTACAGCATTATATATATTATTTATAAATATCTATTTTATTACCTACTACTAGTATTATTAGAGGAAGGAATAAATCATAAATACCCCATAACATTTAAATTTGTATCTATTATATTAATATAATTTTGAGAAAAAAAATTGTCAGTTTTAAACTGACTCACAGTTCTTGTAAGGTCTTTGTAAACGAATATAAAATCCTATCGGGAATGTATATCGCCCTCTTTTTTGGGATTTTTTTCTTATTTCCATCCTCGCGATCAGATGTTTAGGATAAACGGTTGATTTTAACATTATCGATCAATTACGAGCTTCTTTAGTTTCAAGTGTCACGCCTTCAGAACTTTGGGTAAATATTGCCTTGAAACATAGAAAAAAAACACCAAATTACACTTAAATATTATTATTTGTTTATCATATTTATTATTGTCAATACATTTAGGGGGCCTTATCTATGTATATTTTCCCTAAACTTACCTACCAAGCCCTTTCCAACAAAAAAATATATGTCATTAATAAATAATAATTTATTGAATATTAAACTTCATGAAATTTTGTGTCCAAAATAACATCCACTTTTGGGTTATCTATATCAAATATTACTAAGGAAATATCCAGTCCCGTTACGTTCCGCTTCAGCTATTATATTTTTTTTAAAAAGGCAAAATTTATATAAAGTAAATGTATTATCGTCTTTACTCAACTAAGCAAAGGTTTTAAAAAATAACTATCTTTAAATAATATAAGTTTGCGATGATATTTATTCTAATATGCTATCGTGATTAAGCTATTTTGGCTCATTTCAATTTGGTAATCGGTCTTGTTGCTAAATATGTTACCAATCATGGTCCTATAGAAACTGTGGAAAATACTGTGAAATAGCAGAACATTTTCATCTCTCTTCTTACTCCTAAACGATTCAACGTGGTAATCGGATTCTATTCTTTCCACGATGCCAACCTCAGTCCGTGCCAAAGAAATTCCGCTGAATAAATTTATTTTAAAAATATTTTATCATATTATTCATTTTATACTCAGTGAAACGCCTTGATCTGTATACATTGTAAATAGCTAAGGATTCAATGAAGTCACAAACATCGTTGTAATATATGAAGCATTCTGCGAGTTGGGTTTTATTTTTTGTCATTCATTAATGAAATTATACTATTATATAATATTATTATAAATTATGAATGCTTGTTGGCTGCCTTAAACTGTGTCCATTAACATCAAAAAATATAATTCATAAACCTTCCAAACTTTAATGAAAATGAATAAATAAGTTTTATTTTAATCCAAAACAACTTTCTATAAAATTTTATCATAGGAATTTATTAAAATTTTAAAATTAACACTGTCTTAATTATAGCAATAACTTATCTAATTTATTTTATCAGGCTTTTAGGTATTGAATTAAATCAAATCGGCAATCTTTTCCACAAATCGTAAAATAAATTAATCATTTAATAAAATCAAAAAAAATAATTCGAAAGGTCAACTATTTCTATTCCTATAACAATTATTATTGTCTGAGGGTGAGGATAAAAATTCCAATATTTCTAACTAGGATAGATCGTATTAGACTTTCCGAAAGTGTTTTGCGGAATTCGGATATTCATTACGCTAATTTCTCTCTGAGCTTCTTTTGTGGTTTTTGCGTTAAGTTTTTTGATTCCCTTGCCTATTTTCAGCAGATAGAAGCTATCGTAATATTCCTTAACATATAGTTTTTCACCCACTTTCATAATTTCCATCTGAGTAAAATGTTTTAAAATTTTGATTACATATTTTGAAATTATGTTTGGAAAATTTAGGCGAATGTATCATTAATAATCAGAAAAATGCTAAATAAAATCTTTACAATCCTAGTTAAATGGTTATAAAAATTCAAATATTTCGTTAGTGGTGTTAGAATTATTTATCATTGATCTAATTGATAATTACCTACCTTAGTTACTTGTTTAGGAATTGGGGCGAAGTAGTAACCTGAAAAATCGTAACAATGGTGTGTAACGTTATCATCGCGACTTAACAAACATACTTTAAACGTCTTTCCATCTACATTGTGTAAGAGTTTCCCGTCTTCTAGAATCAACTAAAAAATATGTAAGTTATCATTAGAAGCATGTAAGAGGGAAGATATAGACATAGCTTTTATTATGTTTGTTCCAAATTCATTTTTTTTATCCAAAAATTCCAAAATAAAACTTTTTTTAACGTTAAATGATATTTAATTAACATTAATAATATTATAACCTGTAATTTAAGCCTTAATTCTGATATTGCCTAAAGGCAATAGACAATTGATCCAATTTATTCATAAAAATTTTCAAACATTTTGTTGTTTATGTTTCGAACCTTTACTATTATTATAACATACCTTGATATAAATTGTCGATATAACGAAATTATAACAAATGGACATTATATGAAAGTTAAATATCTATTAATTAGTATAATAAAAAATAGAATATATATATAAATAAAATATTATTTTATAAAATAAAAAAAATGTCTTAATAATATCTCACATAAAGTGATATGATAAGAAGGGAAGAAGAACCTTTAATTAATGAACTACATAAATAGGATAAAATTGAAAGTAAAAAATAAGTTTTAAAGCGGAAATCATAAAAATTTAAGAAAAATAGCATCAGTTGAGTGGAGAAGTTTTCTTTATTTTGTTGTATATATCTTTTATCTTTATTATAGTTTATTTTACGCGCATTAATTTAGCCGTGTAACAACGACCCAAGCATTTGATTTTGAATTGTATAATTTGTAAAATTCAGGATGAGTTTCATTTTATTTTATTTTAGAAAGTTATTTATTATATTATACAATATAAAAGGCCGAGCGGACAACCAATACCATCAAAGTTTAGTGTCGATTTTAGTCAAGATAACAGAGAAGTGGATTTATCAGAAAGGAGCTGCTACTAATTATATTAATATGGAAAAGGCCCCTAAGCTTGGAGAAGTGTCTTATCATACTAATAAAAGATACAACTAGAGTTTCAAATATCATATTTGTTTTTAGAATATGGTTAGATCACTAAAATAAGGCCTACATGGGCCGAAATTTTATAGTCATTCCCAATCTCTTTCTCTTTAATATATAAACATATTACATAAATTTTGTAGAATTATTAAAGTATCCGATACAAGTATCTAAATACAAAATTATGATATCTGTAGCTATGTTTCTAGGCGATATCTAGATCCATTGGAAAAGTATCTTTTAGCGACTTATATTCTGTATCTAAATAATGAATCATTATATAGTTTATTGAATACAAGAAATTTAAACCCGAAATCCAATTTTTTTATATTTATTTTTAATTATAAGATTTCTTTCTTGTAATTATTTTGCATAATTATTTTGAATTTCGCTCAATTATTTTATATAGATATTTTTAAATCTTTAGGTTAAACATTAATTTAATATGATTAAATTATATATATCATGAGAAAAGAAAATAAAAACAGGAAAGTTAAATGATTTTTATTAAAGGTTACATAGCATTAGCTATTTTATTTAAAATAAATTGTCTAAGCTCCCCTAACTTAGTTCTTAAGAAGAATTGACCCTTAACAAAAATTTTAATTTTGAGGGGGAGATTAATCAAGATTGGCGTCAGTCAGAAGGAAAAGGACTCAGATACAAGTTAGAGTTGAACAACGCTAAATTAAAAAAAGTATCTTTGAAGTAACCCTAATTGACTATAACCAGTTGCGCCACTGCTAGCTAGGTCTTTTACTCACCTTTTCAAAAATGACAATTTTGGCAAAGAATATAAAATATTAAAATTTTAGAAATAAAAAAGCTATAAGATAGATACAGGGCAATACTGGTCTTTATGATCTCATCAAAATATTTTTTTAAAATTATTTTCAAAATAACTTGGGCTAACATTTTCAAAATAATATTTTTTTAATAGATTACATTTTTTAAAATGGTAAAAAAATTTCATAATTTTTGGGGGGATCTTCAAATTTTTCAGAGGGATGGAAGGTCTCCAACCCCCACCCTAGCGACGTCACTGGATACATGTCACTCTACATAGAATACATAATAAAATCAAACAGAATATATAAGTCGATATGCATTAAGTTTTTAAACTTATCATATATTTAGGCGAAAAGAGAGAATTAAAGAAAATTTTATTTACCTGGTTAACAATATCGTTAGGGATTGCACCACTGTTTTTTTAAAAAATAATAATATATATAAGATCAATTGAATAAAAAAAGTTTTACAAGTCCTCGAAAAGTAATTGATTTTTTTTCTCTTCCTTTATTCAAAATAAGTGATAATTAGAATTTCTCTTTGATAAGAAACTAAGTAATTATTGATTTATATTTAGAAATCCGTGCATAACATTGGAAATACGATTTCAATTCTGTCTGGAGTGTTTCAACATTCCGAGTTTTTTAAAAAGTTATAAATATGAAAATTGTAATCATTTTTTTTAGTAAACTGGGAAAGAGTAAAACAAAAAAATAAATATATTATTGTTCCGTCCTGGACAAAGGGGTGCTTAGAACGCCTAAACTTTATTTTACTCTATATTTGGGCAAAACATTTTATAGAACAAGTTTAGGGCAAACTTATGTGGAATCTTTGGGAATCCAAATTCCAGTTTTTACCCTCCTTAGAGTTGGCACTGATACATTTTCTATCCCATATAATTTATATTATATAAATATCGAATATTGTTTACATACCTTTGAGCTTTGTTTAGAAAATATGATAAAATAACTAATATATGTTTATTATCCATTAGAATAACAAATAAGTTTTTTTTTTAAAAAAAAAGAAGAAAATCCAGTTATAACTAGAATCTAAGGGTATTATTATTTTTTCTTAAACCGGTTTAGGGAAATTTATTAATGTTAGAGTTTAAAATTTTGTATTTCAAGGTTTCGTAGATAAAGATAATTTCCAAATTAAAGTGAGATGAGAACCTGGACTTAAAAGAGTTATGGTTTTGAATATTTTTTTTTAAAAAACGGTGGTATTTCCTAAAACTTTGAAAAGTGGGTCTTTGCTCCAGTTTCTAAATTTGGCGCCCTTCCAAGGATTACAAAAATCTATTAACGCATCAAAAAATGATCAAAAAAAATAAATAAACCCTCTAAACTGAGTGATACATTTTAAACAATATATAAATTTTGATTTTAGAATGGAATGAAGGTTTCCTATTAAAAACTATGATGATTTGTGGAAATGGGTTAAAACTTAAATCCAAATAAGAAGAATTAATTTTTATCATATGGAATTATCTAAATTTTTATAATGTGATTCATTAACTAATACACTAAATCATAATAAAACTAGGAAAATTCTTATTTAAACATTTTAAAAATTAAGAATTTCAAAAATTTTAACTTATTTGTGCTCGCTATATTATTTAATTTTATATAACCTTTTCTAGTCGTTAGCATTGATAAAAGAGCCAAAGCTATAAGCATGAATAGATCGTATCCCATTTTTTTTTAAAAAAAAATTTTAATTAATTTTTAACAAAACTTTAAAGAAAATATCAATATGGATTGTTTTAATGAATAATTGTTGGATTCAAAATAAATTTACTAAATAAATATTTTCATTTGAAAATAAGGTTTTTAGGGCAATATAATTTAAAAAAAAAATAAATATATAAAATTTAAATAAAACGACTAATTAAACAAAAGATCTTCAAATATTTATCTTGTAAAGCTACATATCTTATGATACAGAGAAACATAAAAAACAAATAAGTAGGCACTCGGTTCGCGTTGGAGTCGATTTTAAACAAACCGCTAACCACATTATAAAAACAAGGATCTATCTTTACTTTGGCTTTGTATAAATCAAAATACCATTATATCACCTGGATTTAGCCGATTATTATAAAAAATCTAGTCTACATATATTATACCCAACTTTCAAAGTTTTGCTAAAAAGATGAAGAACACTGCCTAATTACACATGATAAAATTGCAACATCTTTGCTTGAAAAAGCTTTTATCTTTTCTTTGTTACCATTGGCACTCTGCTTTAGAAAAATGATTGTTTCACAGCTTTACAGGAAACTGTGAAGTTGATTAAATTGTTTAGATTTAATTTGATAATTATAAAAAAATAATAATACCATTTTTACTATCCCACACCTCAAACTGAAGACGACCGCAAAGACCGAATCTAAAGATTAAATTGTCGGGTTTGGTATAAACCAAGAAAATCAGATCTTTAAACTTCACTAATACCAAAAATCATAACATTTCCAGAGATTATTTTAATTATCGCAACATGTTACAAGAAATCCTATTTTTTCAATAAAACATGAATTATTAATGACTAAAAATTGTATATGAATTAAATAGAAATAAAATGATTTTTTTTTGAACGCGTTTTGAAATGTTCTGAAACGGAAATGGACATAATCTTTCGGAAGAAATCGGGACGCAAAAATGCCTATTAAATAAATCTTTCACTCATGTCACGTTGATTTAATTTTCCCAAATAGGTCATGTGTAATGGTACCTTATTGGCGGCGATAGTTTAAAAAAAATTTTATGAGCGTCGTTGAAGCCATAAAAGTTATTCTATATATTTTCTTAATATTTTTTTTATAATCATAATATATTATATCTTTAATTATTATAATTTATAATCTATTATAACACGAGCGGTACATTTAAATGAGAGAACTAAGGGGGCGAGGTATTTTCGAAACTCTCAAGTCTATTACAGGTTATTAAAGAATATCATTAAGAAAAATGTTGGGGAGTTCTTCCAAAATATCATCAATAAACATTATTTGCCAGAAGAAACCGTATCAGCCAACGGAATGAGTAAAGCTTGCCCTGTATGGCGCCTTCTTGTAGAGCATAATTATATTATTATTTTTCACTAGTAAATATCAACGGCCCTGTCCTTTCGGTCTTAGACTAGTAATAACGAACAAAAAAGATATGGGTATTTTTTAAGGACCGAGCACTATTTCGGTTCCGTAATAAACTGGCTTATAAATTACTCATTAATTAATATTCATAAATATTCAATTTTTCAACTAGAAGGGAGCTAAACTTTTTGAAAAATCCAAAAATTAAAAAAAAATAAGGTCATTCTAAGCAAATATTCGCACAAAAATCCTATTTTGAGAGGTTTGAATCCTGATGCTCCCCCTGAGGAAGTTACTGAGTCATGGGTTCATTTTTCAAGAACCATAATCGGGTCCGGCCTTAGGACCATTATCATATTTTACACTCAATTTGTGAAAAATGGCATCATCGTTTATTAATAATCGTTTATTTACACACTTCTATATTATATAAATACAATTGCAAGTTGTAATCTAATTATATTCCTAAAGAAAAATCACTGCATTCATCAATCATATAATTCGACACGGCTCCGTCATCTTGATCAAAACGCTCTTTGTTGTGATTCATTGTTTTATCGGCGGTCACCACATTATTTGGTACCGATTTCATAATAGTACATTTGGCTCTAGAATTTGATTTGGAAGATAACGCCGCATCGTCTCGATCGCGTAGAATATTCCAACAATTTTTAATCTATTAATATAAATAAATATTGGTCAAAAATAACGCTTTAATCTTATACATAATAAAAATGGTGATTTGATATATAGTGCAGAAGAGATACACAAACCCTCGTTATGGTGATGAATATCCTTACATTGACAACTAAAGATAGGTCGTAGCCAAACTACTAATTATGGGACCGAGATACAATAGTTTTTAAATGGGCATTAATGGTAGGCCTAGAAAAATACGCATTATTTTAGATATCTCTTTTTTTAAATTATTGTCTTCTTTTTTAGGGGGGTGATGAACCTTATACAATATATATATAAATGATTTTAATTCTAGCTTTCAAAAATATATTGGTATAAAAATCAAATTTATGGCCTATGGAAGATATTTGTAAAATTATAATAAACCTGCTTCAAATAACGGTTCCCTCCATCGCTAGGTGGAACATTTTGAGATACATGCTTATGTATCTGGTTCGAAGTTTTTACCCAAGCATCAATTATTAGATTTAATAGAGCGTTACAATCAATGGCACCGTTTTGGGGAATTCCGTCATATCCTGTTTCAAAACTTACATCGTAGAGTTCGATGATGTATAGAAACAATGTCGTAAACTTTTGCATGAATTCAGGGTGCGACAAAAAGTTTGCCATTACTTGCAAATGAACAACGCCATTATTCATACGCGCATTCGTGCTCGTTGTCTCTTCGCTCATGATATTGCTCAAACTTTCGAAAATGGTTGCCTTATAAAAAATAATAAAATACCGATTTATTTGCAAACTTTTCTTTGTTATAGAGCCCTGCATATGGACCCCATTTTTTCTAGGGTGTAACAAATTTTCCGGTTGGAACAGGTAACTTTGAAACCGAGAGAAATCTCAGGGACATAAGCCAGAACCTTGATTTATTTTCTTAAATTTTGTACGAATCAGAATCAATTTTAAAATTTCTTAGTAATTTTTGTTTCACAATTATCTCTTTTTTTTATTTCTTTTATAAACAAATTGAAACAAGAAAACCCTAAAAATTCGAGTAAAAAAATTTGAAAATTTAAACCAGATCCCACTTTTCAAAATTTTAAGCTAGAAAACTCATCTTATTTTTATATATAAAAAATGAAAAATATTGAGAAACCAAAATTTGATTTTGATATAATTACCAACTTACCAAGGTAAATAATTCACCGTTATTTATCGTAATCCGCTTGTAAAAACGCTTTTGAGACTCGTGCAAATCTATGTACCTCTGAATAGCTTTTTCGGCTAATCCGGACACCGTTTCGTAATAATTTTTAGTTTTAAAGCCATCAGAAAATCCTTTTATAGAAAATTTGCTTAAAAGTTGAAATAGGTGGCCAGACATTTCGTACTCCTCGAGAAGATGATCCTTTTTTTGTTGATATTTTAAGAGTTTTATGAATAATATAATTATAAATTTTTTTAAAAAAGAAAGCTATAAATAGTTTAATAAGTTTTAAATTATTTAATAGAGTCTCACTGCATTTTATTTTACTAGTTGTAGTAATAGCCCACTTAATTTTATTACATTTAAAAAACTTTTTTTTAAATTTATGTTTAACTCGTTTAATATCCCCGTGCCATCTTTAAACGTAATTTATTCGTAAGAGCAGGTAGAGATTTTCACACCTAATAACAATTCCCAAGAGACTCGCCCTATTACCTTAAGCAAATCAATCTTCTTTTCTCTCTTCAATTCATTTTTAAAATTTTTTTTATTAGATTTTAGATTATAAACTTTAATTTCATCGTCCACTTCCAAAGAGATGGCGTATAATAAGGAATCGATGGCGGTTCCTGTCCGAAATTTTCATATTTAAAGAAGAAAAAAAAAGGATAAAGTTTGTACATTTAAATTAGGAACAATCAATTATTATTTTATTTTTTAAAAAACTTGTGATTGACACGTTGTCAGACCGTGCTCCTTTTGTTGGTATAATATTCAAGCTACGAAAGGTTGCGATATGCGATAATTTTATCAAATTAACGAGAAATATTTTGATATTTGAGACTTGATTGGTATTTCGTTGTTCATGCTCGAGATCGGTTCCCAATAGTTGCCTTTAGTTTTAAACCATATATTAAAATTACTAAATAAATGTTTAAAAAAAGATGCAAAAAATAATATAAAATTTTAATAAATTTTTTACACTAATAAAATTTAATTCAAATATTAATTCATTTATAAAAAATAGAAAAGTTAATTTGTCTTAAAAAAAAATTCGATAAATGAACAAGTTATAAAATGAATGTAATGTTTAAAAATTTCAGACCAAAAAATTGTTAGAAATATTTAAGATGATTGTATTGTGGTGATGTTAAAAAATTTGCAATAAAATTGGTGAATTCCACGAGGATTATAATAGCAATGGAAAAAAATTACTTTTTATGCTACTAAATAACTCATTGGCATTAGTGTTATTAAAAAGCCCAATTTAGGCCGATTTTTTTAAAACGGCCCGATTAAGATCTTAGCTAAAATAATATTATATAAATATCGAGATATGGCAAACAAATATCCAATCATTTCTGCCAACTATGTGCAAAATTTTTAGACCCATATAATGTTATTTTGGTTTTAATCCTAATATTAGGCTTTTTAATAACACTATTTGGCAGATATATTATTTTTAAAAAAATTTAAAATAGATTGTGTCTCGTTTGCATGCTATTATATTTGAGACTCTTTAATATACATAATATTCTTTCTTAAAAGATAATATTATTATCGAAAATAAATTCAACGATTAACTTGAAGACTAAAAACAGCCATTTTATGATTAATTGGATTCGAGATGATAAATCACTAATCCTTTCGATAGCGACAATATTTTTATTCTCGGCATCAAAATCAATCATCTTTACCAATTTGGAATACAAGAACGTTAACAAATCGTGATGGTTATTATGATCGGTCATGAAAGAAGCCACAGCGAAGTTTTGTAATAAATCTAAGACCCTTTCTTTGACGGCTGATAGTGAATCATCGGGCAAAGATCTCGTTTCCAAATAAATCTCGAATTGTCCCAAAATTTCGAATAAGATTGATGGCAAATTCGCGAGTGCTACGTCTTTGGGATTATTTTCGAGAGGGACCAGAGTTATATCGTTGAGAAACACGAGAAAACTTTCAAATTTTATGTTTAATTCGGTGTTTTTTGTCTTTGCACTTAAATCAGTATTAATTGTGGCATGAATTATATGGGGTTTTATATCTGTAAAAAAAAAATAATAATAAATAAGATAAGGCTTCATTTATAGTAAATGCGTTATATTTACGCGTTGCCTTATTTAACGCTATCGAAAACACTAAATAGAAGTCACAACATATGTTTTTCAAATTTTATCAGCGTAATCATCATAACGCTCCTATTGGTTTAATTTCGTAAATAACGCACCGCTTGAACATATCGCGTTTACTAATAAATGAGGCCCAAATTGTATAATAGTGCGCACAAATTGAGCGCTTGCGGTTTGTAGTAAAAAAAAATAAAAACAACGCATCCCATGTCTAAATTCAAATTGTTTTTTTTAAATATTAGTATTATCGATTCAAAATTTTTACTAAGTTATAAAAAATGGAATTGGGTTTTTTGAAAATTATATTATCGTCTTGCTTTTTAATTTAACTTCCATTTTAAAAAATAGGTTGTTGTTGCTATATTTTATATAATATTGAATTAAAATTACTTATAATTAAATAATTAGAAAGTGCCCCCCCCCTCCTATTATTCTTATCTTGGTAACGAGGTTTTGTCGGCTTTCTTGCGAAAAAATCCGAATAAAGAACCTGTTATAGATCAACGTGGTAAGTGAATGAAAGGGATTGAAAAAAAACCAGTTTGGTTTTTTTTAAAAAAAATGATATCTAACGCCAAGCAGTAATTTGACCACCTTTGCGTTTGAAACGCTCAATTTTTGCGCCCAATAATAAAAGAACAATTTAAAAAAATATATATATGCCTAGTTTTAAAAGTAATGCACCAAATACTGGTAAGAGGAGGGCTCGATAAAAATATTTTTTTTGGTGGGGAATATTTTTGAGTTATACCTTAGATTAATAGTTAAAAATATCACTTAATATTATTATATCCTCGATTTAAAAATTTGGGAGTAAACCTTCATTGTAATGGCTTTTAATTAAATCGATTAAAATGCTTGATTGATTCATCATAACAACCATAATCGGAGAGATTATATTCTGCTGTATCTCATTACTGTAATGTAGATTAGATACATCATTTTGTTGAATAGATGGCCCAATTATTTTAATTAGTCTGGAATGCAACTGCATGCAAAGATTTAAACATCTTACATGCACAAATTTATTGAAGGTGATTATAGGAGTTTTATCGCTTCTTTCTTTACTAATGACTATTTCGTTAAAGTTTTGAATCAGAGTAACAAATAAACGGCCTAAGAAAATAAGATATCTGAATTCTTTTTTTTGTTCATCAACTATCAGTTTGGTCATTAAATTATTAATAGCATGGTATATTTGATTTGATAATTCATCTAATGCTATGGTAATTACATCTGCATAATACATGTCAGAAGAAAATATAAGAGGTTGAAAATGACCAAATAATATGCTAAATTATAATATATATATTAGTTATAAAATTATAATTTAAAAAAAAATATTAACTTGAAAAATATTTTCCAGGCATTGATTGACAATATTAATGCCATATCAAGTACATTGTTTGTTAAGGGTATAATAATATTATTAAGAATATCAAATGTTATATCTAGTATATTTTTATTTATGGCATTTTCATTCTCCAGAGGGAAATTTAAATTTTGAGATATCTTTAGCATTACTGTAAATAATTCATTTACATCTCCAAATAAAAATTTAATAAAGTGAGTATGATTATTGTTAGTTGAGTAGTTCCCATATTTCTAAATAAAAATTAAATAAATGGTAATGTAATACTAATTTTATACTTTACAATAAACCATTCCTTTGTTTATCATTAATAAAGATGTTTTATATATATGAATTTTGACCAAAGAATAATAACTTTGATTTTTATCATAATTTTTTAAAACATCAATAAAACACGTTTTAATCAGACAATCCAACTAAAATAGATTAAATTATATATATTTCATTTAAAATAACTTGATTAATAGATATTTCATAATCATTATTTTCAAGAAGTTGATTGTAATAACTTCCTATCTAAGATAAATAATTAGTCTTTCAAATAATAAAGCAACAAAACTTTTTCTAACAATAAGCTAAACAAGATTATATTTTCATCATTATTCATCAATGAATAGTGTGAAGTGAAAAGCATAGAGATATTTTCTAGATTTCCATGATTAAATTATATAAAGTTTTAAATATACCAATATGATCAATGATATTTTCTTTTTCTAATTTGTGTAAATTATGTTAAGGAAATATGTTATAATATATATAATTAAATCAAAACATAACAAAAGGATATATTAAAAAACTCTTGAACCACCCCAATTCTTTGAATACATAGATTTTCAGACCAATCATTGATTAAAACAAGATCATTTTTACTTAGTAAAGTTTCCATAAAAAAATAGCAGATAATTTTTTTAAAAAAACCGGCTGAAAAGGCAAACTCGAAAAAGTAGAATGTTTTATATATTTATATAAAGATTAATAAAAATAAGAAATATTAAAACTCAAACTTTAAGAACTCATAATTATAAATGGACCAATTTAAACTTAAAATTAATAGTTAATATATTTTTTTTAATAAATAACTTTTATCAATTTTAATTCAATTTTTTATATATTTAAATTTTTAATTTTATAGGAAAAAAAAAATAAATAAATAGATATTAAAAAGATATACATTAAAAATTGTATAAATTAAAATAGTAGAAAATGGGGGATGGGTGGTTTAAAAGATAAATTTTGGCATAGAGTGGAGGGTGGAGTAAAATTCTATCTACAGATCTCGAGAGATATTTTTCAGTCAGAGAATTTGATAATCTGCTATTATAATTGGTTAGTCTGAATAATAATGAATTCAGATTATTGGTAGGGAATTGCATAAAAATCTCTTATCTAAGCAAGAAAATGGCTAAAATTAATCATATTTCTAAATTATATGAGATAAAAAGTTAATATCAAAAATCTATATGAAATCTCTATTATATAATATAACAAATATCTTGTTAAAACTTTATTCTAAGGATAACCCTAATATGTAACCAAATAGAATGCGTTATAAATGTATATACGTTAATATTATTCATTAAGGATCCACTAAATCTTTGTTATGTATTATTTTTATTGAGGATAAATATTATACCCGCGAATTTAAATCACCTGTATTATGGTTGGCGGATTATTGAAAAGGCATTCCTCATCCTCACATAAAGTTGATGAAGAAAGTATTTTATTTGAGTAAATATCGTGATTATTGTTAATAAGGTAAATGGAAAAAGGATGATATCAAAGATGTCAATTCATTTTTAATAAATTTTTTTGAAAAAATTGGTTTTACATTAACTACAAATCTAATTGAGCTAAATAAGATAGGTATTTATGTATATATATAAACATTTTTTAGTATTAAATTTATAGAAGTGATCTCATCCTTGTTTATAGATAAATTTAAAGCAAAAATATCAAATGAAATAGATTCCCACATTATCAAAGATCAGTTTATTAATGAATTTGATAGATTTCTCTCAGTACCAAATAATATTATACAAGCTTTGAATCCTACCTTGCATATAGATAAAAATAATAACATGTATATGAAACATCATTTAAAAATACAAAATATTAAGCAAACAATTTTTAGTAATTAATTCATAAGGTTAATGGTTTTATTTAATAATTTTTAATTCATCACATATAGGCACTGGTTCTACTCTCATTTAAGAAGATCATTTATAATTGATAATTATATATATAAAGACTTGTGTGCTGTAAATTATTGATTGGATATTGATATTCCATTGTTAATAGATTATCCAATGCTTATCACATGAATTATTTTACCTAATATTCCTTTAATTTTTTTTTAATAATTGTCACCAGTCTTTAAAAATAACTGTTCAAATGGAACTAAAGTATAAAATAGCCAAATAATGAATAAGGGAATCAAATTTTTAATACAGACAATGATTTCTGTTTTAGATAGAAATACGGTCCATATTTTGACTATATTTGGGTAATTGTTCTATTTATAGCCAGATAAAATTGGCATTCTTTTACCCAAATAATAACACTTCTACCCTTTGAAAAAAAGCATAAATAAATTAGCACACCTCTCAATGCTTAGTGAATTGAACACAAACTGATCAAGCTGATTTAGCCAATGCCATTACCCATCTGTATATAAAAATATTTTTGGTTATAAAAAATACTATATGTATAGTATATAAACTTATTGTTTTTTTTAAACTAATTTTATGGGAAAAATCTTTATTATCTCAAGGTGATTCTGGGCCATAAATAAAAACGGTAAATTCCAATATGCTATAGGGCTTGGGAAAAAAAAATTTAATTTCTGTCAAATTCATTAAAAACGGTTCCTTTAATCTATTTTGGGCATAATTTTAACCTCCTAGCTGTTATACTTTTGGTGAATCAAGGACCGAAGCATAAAAGATACTTTTTTTTAAAGTCAGTTTTCGTTTTTTAATAATTTATTAAAAACTACACGGTTGTAAATAATAAATTTAGATTAAAATAAGATGGGCATCTTTTTCCGATAATAATAAAACTTGACAATGCTCAGATTTTAATAACATTTTTTAACATACATTACTATTACCATTTTTCTAACAAAAAATAGAGACGAGCTTTTACGACATCATAGATAAAATTGAAAGTTTTTAAATAATGTTCTATTAAGGATATTTTTTAAAATTTATTCTAAAAATATTAAGTATACGCTTCATTTTAATATGTGTAATTCTTAATCAATTATTAATTAAAATTATTTCTCATGATTCTACCACCCGATATCTCCAAAAGTATAGGCTGAAATTTTGCCCAAATATAAGCAAGCTACGCTAACACGGAATCTTAGTTTGTAATGTAAGAATTTTGAGAAAATTAAAATGGGTTTACCGAATCGCGATTTATTTGGCATGGAAGCCCCAGAAATAAATTCAAAAAATAAGTTTTTTTTTGAAAATCGAAAATACCTTCTTTATCTAGAAAAACCAAATCATGGTTTTTATTTTTAAATCAAAAATTACATTTCTCTCTCTTCAATAATTGATTTAGGAGAGAACAAAAAAAGTTCATTTTAATTTAATTCAAACAAAATTAAGTATTTCTCAGTGTTTTTTAAACGGCTTGATATTTAAAAACGGCGCATGCGTAATAGCATTTTGACTTTTTATTTAAAGAGCCGTTTAACAACACTACGCTCAAAAACAAAATGGCTTTCTGTTTCTTTTTCACACTCGCACACAAAAAAAGAACTGTAAAATGGATGTCAAAAAAATAATAATTAGGCGAACCATAATCGCATACATTATTTAATAGATATAAAAAAATTTTTTAAATATTTTTAAGAGAGTCATGCCAAGAAAGTCTGATAAGTATGTTATTGCAAGTAGCGGCTATCCGAACCCAATTCTTACCAATTTTGATAGATAAGATGTGCCACTATTCCAACAACAAACTCCCCGTGGAAGATTACCAGGATATGGAGATACCGCCTAATATACCTATACTCATAATAAACGAATTCAGGAAATTACAAAATTTTGAACGTGAAAAGGTATTACAAAAATAAACAAAATGAATAATAGTGCGCGCATATTGAGCGTTTGTGTTTTGCCCTACTTTATTAAATAATAAAAAACGCATCTCTTGTCTAAATTGAGTCTTTTTTTATTAATATCGTCGGTTCAGAATTTTAACTAACGCCTCATTTATAGTAAAAGGCGATTTGTTTAAGCGGTGCGGAATTTACATCAAGCCAATAAAGTATAATTTATAAATATGGAACCTAACAATGTGCGACGTATATTTCAAAAATTATCATCGCTGTGAGAAATCAGCTGTGATTTCTATAGAATAAATACCGCACCGCTTGAATAAATCGCGTTAAAAAGTAATTTACTTTTTTAAATTATATTAGTGCCTGACTTTATTTTATTAATTTCTAAATATTCTCGATTTTATAAGATAAGTTGTTATTTTCTATATTTTTATATAATATATTGCAAAATGAAGAATAAGACGGTATTGTAAAAAGCAAACTTGTTTTGCGTTTTTTAGAATGGTTTTTTAATACCAAGCGATAATTTAAACAATTTGCACGTTACTATTTGAAATACATTATTTGTGCTTGCAACGCCCAATTTGTGCGCACTATAACCTGATATGATAAGAAATAAGACTAACCTTAAAATGTTATACTGCAAACACAAGGAGTTTCTGACGTATCTATTGGATGCTTTACCGAAATGTAGCGTTCCTATACAGGAGGAAATCCTGACCTGTTTACCCGAATTCATTTATGAGGAAGAAAATGTGGACTATGTTACGAGACGACTGATGTAATTTGTTTGGGTTTATTTAAA